CGCTGGGTATGGGGGGCTGGGGGGAGAATTTAAAGGGGTGGAGGTCCATTTTTATAAAGGGTGCCAAGGTTGAGAAACACTGATCTAAGGATTAGAATGTGTCTCAGAAGGTGGCAGCACCTAGCCAATCTGCTCTAAGATTGGAGCTTAGCTCACTACTTGGAAGAGAGACTTACAGGGAATACCAGTCGGTAGGCTAATGAGAAAAGGAAACATAACAGAGGAAGGCAGTGAAGCACCAAGAAAACCTCATGCTCCTATCCATGAAGTCACCAGGAGTCAAATGTGACCTAAAGGAAACTTTACCAAAGGTTAGAATATATGCTGCTTTTAAATGAAATCTGAGACCTGCTGCACGGCACCTTGCGGACTCTAATCTAGTTAAAGCCTGTGAGCATTTGTCTAGTTGATTTGCCTAGTTCAGGAGCCAGTCTTCTGAAACCTTATCAACTAGTACAGCTTTTCCCCACTTGTTGTCTTCCACAGGGGGTACACTACAATTTGCAGATTCCCCAGCCAGCAGCACATCCTGCTGGTTGAAAAGTCAGGGTGTTGTCATACCTACCTACCTACCTACATTTCATGCATCTGAAAGGTGCTAGTCTGGGGTAAGTAAATAATTGCTGCACAAATGTGTCTCTTTCCTAATGAAACAAGATGGTGATAATGCCACTTTGGGAAGCTTAACTCCCAAGAGGCAAATACAAATACTTTGGAATTTGCTGAAGCCATATAATTGTAAGGTAAGGAGCCCTGCTGTGATCAATGTCATTTTATAAGCTTGCTGGGCCTGTCCTGCTAAAGTTGCTATTTCCATGCATTAAGAAGACACAGTGCATTCAACCTCTCTCATCACTGCTGACCTTTGTTAGGAAATGCCTCACTTAGTACACCTTTCTGTTCTGTGCAATTCTGAAAGGCACAGGAGTCATCTCAGAGAACACCTCTGCTAGGCCAGAGGAGAAAACTATGATTGTTTCAATCTTATGTTTCAGTTATTATGCTTACCCATTGGGTCCACAGGACACACAGGCTAATCATGTTTAGCCAGCATGTTGTGTGGACCCAGGCCATGTGATGTTTATGATGTAGTATATTGTGCAAACCCAGAAAATCAAGTGAATTCATTCATTCATTCATTCATTCATTCATTCATTCATTCATTCATTCATTCATTCAACCATGCATGAGCAAGTTGTGTAAGACAGCTGTCTTGCCACCAAGGTGAATTTCAAGCAGGCTTGGTGGAAGCTGATGCTCTTTGTGCAGTCCAGTTCCATGTGATTTTCCATACTGCTTATGCTGTTTTCAAATTGTTTGTTTGTGCAAAAGACAGTGAGTCAGTCTTTTTAATGATGCTGGTAGAATTAAATGTAACAATATTTTGTGTTTTTGTCTCTCTACCATTTTCATACCATCCAACCAGCTGTTACCATAAGTTTATAAAGTGACTGTTGGTGTAGAGAAGGCTTACCTGCATTATTTATGGTCAAGATATATTTCCTTCAAAAGGACAATAGTTTCTTTTAATCTGCAGCTTAAATTCACAGGAATCTGATGCTTCCTTGGTTTATACAGTAAGTCCTAGTACACAAAATAAGTGTCTTTAGCTAACTCCACAGCCCTGCTTTCTTGAATAACAGACTATATAATGGCTTTGCAGAATGTGTGAACCGAACCCCAAGTGCTCACTTGTGAATAGACGTATATAGAATTACATTCTTAGTCCCTACTTTAACGTTCTGGAGAAGAGAAGAAGAAAAGGGAAGTGGGGAGAAAAAATTCTTAAGTTTTTTAGTTTTGACTCTAAAAAGAAACCAGAAGAAATTGGGGGGGGGGGGAGAACTGGATTTCTTAGATGGGCTACTTTAAAATTAATGCTTAAAGAAATGGGGAAAAAATTGTTGAATAAATTATGCAATATTTTGCCAATGATATGCAACATTATATGAATGAAGATATGCTGTATTTTTTTTTGTTCTTTTGATTCTAATATATGTGTACTATGTCTTGCGCACTAGCCATGGAAGCAGTGAACCTGAAGAGTGAGCATTCATTTGGCAACCAGTTTATATCTAGTGCATGTTATTCTGTTTTTTCAAAGAAATGTTCTCTAGCCTGGATTATTAGTCCTTGTTCAAATCAGTAGCAGACTAAAATTAAATGCTGCATTATTACATTTATTTCCTGTATTTCTACCACCTAAATAATATTGCCAGCAATATAATTAAATTTTTTCCTTCCTAATCCTTTGATATTAACTTTTCTGATCAAGAAGATATAGTGTAGTTTCAAATGGATTATTGAACATGAAGTGGACATTCAGTTTAAATGAAGGAGATTTATCCTCCCATTGTTCATCTACGTCCTTAAATTCACTGGATGTTTTAAAACTAGCATTTTCCCACTGGAATTGAACTAAGCATAATTCTAATTAATCAGAATCAGGTAAAATGGATGGGTACATGGGAAATGGAGTATGAAGGAGATAGCTAGATAGGAGACCCCTATCTAGATTTAGGCTTCTAGACAGAACTGAAATGTAAGGATTTGAGTATGTTGATTTTGGAAAGGGGTGGGGCTTATATTCCTTTATTTTTTTTTCTGTCCTCTTTTTTTCACCTGGTTTTGTAATACTGCAGATAGCAAGTCTTCTGGGAGGGTGAACTATGTAATTTTACATTGTGCAATTCTGCTACCAGCCCAGCCCCTGGGATGGGTGAAGCCTATAAATCTAAATCTTTCAAAAACAATGGATAGAGTTTACTGTAAGGGATCTCCATAAAAGAAATGCAAACATGCTATATAAAATGGCGGGGGGGGGGGGGGGGGGGCGGAAGCAAGAGGTCACACCATCTGGAAAGCTTTCCAACCCCTGGAATGGCAGTCTCAATTTAGCTCTGAAGTATGTAAAGATGGTGTTTCACTGAGGAACCTATTAAAGGCATGCTAATGATTTTCCAATGCTTTTGCCAGTAGATAATAGGGAAATGTCTTCTACTACTTTCTTGAAGGCAGAAGCAGGGAGTGCTCAAACATTATCACTTGTTTATGTTTTCAAGAAAGAGAACATGCTTTTGTGCCACTTGGAGTGCCAAAGTATGACATTTTTCTAGCATAAGTGCATCTCCAATCCTCTTTATCTTTCAATCTGTTCTGCACTGAGCACAGATTTTCTTGTAAGAAAACATACATGGGCCACGAATCTATAATGCATAGTATATTTTATTACTGTTTTAGAATGTGTAAGTTGTAGTAAACCAGCCAACATTCAAACTACAAGATTCAACTCATCTGGAGGGCACCAGATTGGTGAAGACTCATTTAGTCACTACTTCACCCTGGTTCTTTGACTTAATAAAGGAAGGAGATTAAGTGTGCTCATAATAACCACTCTTTTTACAAGACTATTAATATTCAGTGCTTTTACACATTCCCAGTTACATTATGGTAACTCTCTACACTGGGGTAGTGTAAAGGCTCTATATAGCAGATCTGAAGATGAAATGGTGGTCATCCTTAAAATAAGATTTGAAGTAAGGTCTTCCCAGTATACCTATTCAGCCATTATGATAGGTTATCCAACTAGAACACTTAGAATGTGTTTTGCTGGGTTTGTTTAGGTTCTTGCTAACCTAAATTCTGTATTGTGTTTAAAATGTATTACTTTACTATCTTTGACACAATTATTTCAGCAAACTATAAAATAGAGACATAATATTGCTAGGACATTGTCAGAGTTACCAGCAAAACTGTCTACATCTTCATGTTTAACCCTGCAGCTCTCGTGCCCTTTACCCTTTAGCTTTCGCCCATAAAACGAAATGGCATTCTCTCTCAGTTAAGAACTTTTATCATGTTTATTATCAAACAGATATGTTTAATGGATTCAGAAGTTTTTTTCATCTTCCTGCTGGTGAAAAGTGAATTATTAATCTGTAAAGGCACAAGACAAACACCTTCTTGCTTTAATTTTCAGTTGATGTTTATGGATTGCCTTGATAACTATAGATGCGGTGGCATCTAAAAATGCTTTTTCTCCCCACATGCACAAAAATTACATGGAAGACAGTTGACCTAATGCTGCATCTCCTGAATATTTAGAATCAACAACAAAAATCAAGCCCAGTAAATTAAGTGAATTGGACTTGTTAGAAAAGTGAGAAGTATATTTTGATTGCTTCTGCTTAGAAGAAGGCACAATTTTTGCTTTGTTCATTTTTAAAAGGGAATTGCCTTAGACTAGAAACAAATATGGATGCAGTATAATTAGTTTTAATACTATAAAATATCACTTTCCTGAAACCTCATATTACATGTATATTCCTCAACTATAACTGAACTTTTCATTATACACACTCTGACTTTTTAACTTTGGGCATACAATATATGTTCCCAGTCTCATGACTGGTTAAACAGTTTTAGAATGTGGCCCAACTTGTTTGGAAATTCTAAATTCTTGGAAAATCTAATTCTGAAGAAGGCCATGGCACACCACTTATGTACTACTGCTGAGAAAACTACTTGTACAGTCAGGGAAGTCACCAGAAGTTGAGCTAGACTTTAATACCAACTTTTCTTGAGTACACCAGAATGTGAACAGGTAATAGATTTCTCCTGCAGCCAGCAAGCTATATGTGTATCCATTATCTGGTATCGTTAACTGAATATGAGGTTCATGTCTGAAATCTATCACACATGCGCACACATCTTTGTACTTTGTTTTTTATGAAGGGGGTGATGACTGAATCACTTGGAGTTGGAGAACAGCTGTTTTGAGCTTGGGAATAGTTTCTAGGAATTGTGGTTTCTGGAAGGATAGACTGAGATAAGTTTCCTAGTTCTTGGTGGGAGGGGTTAGGTATGAGGAGGTTGTATGCTGAAATAGTTCTGGAGTGTCTTGTCTTACAAAGAACAGTTGCATAGATTGAAGTATGTTTGGGAAAATCTACCTCCTACTTACCATAAGTCCTTTATTTTAAGAAAACTATTTTCTAACATGATCTGCATTCTTGTCATAACATCTTTCTCATAAAGATAACTTTAAAACAACATCTAGCTTGAATGCTTTAGTTCTCTTCTTCCTCCATACTTTGTGGATAGATTTTCATTAAGTTTTCCAAATTGCTAACTGACCCTTGCAGAAATGAGGTTGACAGTAATAGGAGAATTCAGGATTATATTTTTGAAATAAAAAGTATGACTTTACAGAGGATACTAGTGAGTTTTACTACTTGTAATAACTGAATGAGCCAGTTTGGTGTAGTGGTTAAAGCATCAGGCTAGAAACTGGGGGACTATGAATTCTAGTCCCACCTTAAGCACAAAGCCAGCTGGGTGACCTTGGGCCAGTCACTCTCTCTCAGCCCTGGGAAGGAAGCAAGGGCAAACCACTTCCAAGAAAACCTTGCCAAGAAAACTTCAGGGACTTGTCCAGGCAGTCTCCAGGAGGGAACAACTTACTTGAAGGCACAAACACTTACACACCTGAATAGAACTCAAGTAATATTTAACTGATATTTTGGTGATGGCCAAAAAAAAAAGTAATTATGTATTTCATGTTTCCATTATATTGCTCCCTCCCTTTCTCTCTATCAATAGTTTGGGTATGTATATACACATTATCGTTCTGTTTCTCCCCCACCCTTTTCTCAACAGTAGATTCCATGCATGTAATGAAGTGGCCTGGAGTCCATAAAAGCTTATGCAGGAGCAAACTTCTTAAACTTTAATATGCGACACAGCTCCCTGCTGTTTTTGCTGTAAGAGACTAACATGGCTCTTTCTTTAGAAAGTAATTCAGTCTGCATCTATGAATGTGACAGAATATATGATACTATATTAAATAAGATTACTTGAAAAACAGTATTATCACAGCATATATTTATGTATCCTTTTCTTTGTATATCATATTGAGTTTAGTCCACCAATTTCAATCATACAAATTTGGTAATACTGAAATGTATTGAAATTGACATCTCTTTTGTTTTTGACAGGTTAACTTATTCAAGCAAAATGAATGTTTCACAGAAAAACTACTCATGGAGTATGGGTTCAGAGGATTCTGCCTTTCACTCCATTGTAGCTGTGCCATAAAAAGGTAACCCACTGCTTACTAACTTTTTATTTTACCTTTTCAGTGATGTGCTTGCACTACCATTCTTTAAACAAGAAGAGCCTCAGCTTTCCCCTGAGAATGATGCAAAACTCCCTCCATTTCAATATGTGCTCTGTGCAGCTACATCTCCTGCCATAAAGCTTCATGAAGAGACTTTGACTTATCTCAACCAAGGTAGGACCAACACAAAATTGAATGGACAATTGTTTGAATTGATCTTTGGTGATTTCAAGACTAAACACAGCAGGCCCTAATTTGGTCTGAAGGCTGTTAGTGCATGGCTGGGGGACCATAATCATTTAATGTACTGTGTCTGAAATGTGCCACAGTGGAGTAGAATTATATTTATTTGGGAAGACTCTATTCTCACTACTTTTGTGTTTGAGGTATATTTGACTAATGAAAAAATATGATTACCATTTGCAATGTTGTACTCATTTAACATTGGTTCTTCTGTTAAGGTAGAAAAAGAGGACATTTGATGAGAGATTGTAGATTTTGCTTTGCTTCTACTAAGGCAATACTATATGGTTACTGAATCTAGGAAGCAAGATACAATAGAAAAATGCAGATTGTATACCATGTAATATAGAGATTCTGCTACAAAATGCTGTGCAGTATTCAACAGTCTTTCCCAGCAAGTTCCCTCTAGATGTTTAAAATTAGTATCCTCAGAATTTCCATCCAGCATAGACATCAATTTGGCCAGGAATTCTGAGAGTTGTAGGCCAACACATCTGGAAGACATTTGTGTTGGGTGCACATTGTATGGGTTGGAGAATGTAGTGTATGATCCTGGGCTTCTTACAGAAAAGATGGAATACCGCAATGAATATTGAGACTTGGATAGTGAATGGTTTGTGGAAAAAGTGTGTTTGTACAGCACACAGTTGTTAGGTTGAACTTGCGTGTTGTTGATAGCTTGTTGCATGAACCCAGTCAGTTGTATTTTATTCAATATGCTAAACCAAACAACCCACATGATTTGGGCTATGTTTTGGATTTCAAGGGAGAAAGATGCTTTGGAGCATGTAGTACTTCTCAACAACCCTTTGAAACAGCTGCATCCTTTCATGGAATTGTATGGCTGCCCAGACCTGGGAAAAGACATCTTGGGTTTGAGGAGTTGCTGACAAGTGCTAAGTATGCAGCCTCACATGCTCCAAATCATCCCTTTCTCTTTAAATTCCAAGCATTGCACAACCCTGGACATTTCAGTTTAATATGAAGTGAGCCCAATCAGCATGCTATACAAATCCAGCCAGTTGTAGTTTATTTAATAAAACACAGACCTAGAGTAATATGTGAACCTAATTCTAGAGTAACTTTAAATAATATAGGAACTGTCTCTATAAAGTCAAAAGTTCTTTTTAACTATAGATTCCTGGTATAAGGATATTATGAAATAGTGAATCAGCTCCATTAAAGTGTTCTGGTTGAAAAGAACCCTGCTGTTTATCTCGTGCACCTAGAACGGCTTGTACTACAGAAGAATTGCTGTGGATAGAGCATGATATCCGCTGATAGCATCAGGAAAAAGTTCTACCCAATACATTATATGTGGACTCTCAGAATAATAACTATTCCCAGCTCTAGAATAATCTCTATATGGATTTCATATGATGTTCAGATAATATTGAACACTGTCAAGTGACAACAGAAGCATATTCTAATTACTTAATATTAATTGCACTTTTCTTTAAGGGAAATCTTAAAAAACAATTATTGATGTTAAATGGTCCACCCATGAAATCTCTGATCTTTACTTAGCCAAAATAAACAGAGTGCAAATATTTTCCATATTTCAAAAATAAGGAACTAAGACTTTCAAAAGAATTCCAGGAAAACTCAGACTTTATATTAACAGTTGTTTTTGGGTCATTCATCACTGAAGATACCAGTTAGGCAATTATTTGCATGAGCAAACACCACAACACTGAGTAGTCATAGGAACTTCATTCTTTCCTGTCATCCAGGTCTCCTGTGCTTAACACACAAAGCTAGTCCTAGGATGGGTAAATAGTATGCTGAGGGAGGATATCTTCAGAGTCATGCACTTTTCCCAGTTATAAACTATTTTTGCAATGTTGTCAAGGTAAGACAATCCCCCCAAAAGAAGAGTAGATCTCTCAAATTATAAAACAAGACAAAATCCAGCTTTCCTACTTTGTCAACCTAGGGTTTCCAAATCTATCTGAAATCATTCTTGGAGGTTTCTCTTTCCCTAATAAATGTGGGGATATTTCACACTTGTGTTTGGATATATGTATCTACGTTATATATTTGCTAGAAGCCACACTTCAAAAAAGGGCAGGGAAAGTACAATGCTAACAACTGAATTAATAACAACCGATTAAAATTAATTGCCTGTAGAGTAAAATCTCTGAGTTGAGTACAACTTCTAATGACTTCTGAGGCATGTCCATGTAGTACTGTATAGTTATAGTGGTCTGCCATTGTTTTGTTCTAGGGTGATTTTTCAACTTCCCTTAAGTTGGTCTCTCATCCAAGTACTAGGCTGGTCAAACTCTGCTTAGATTTGTCAAGTCAGCTAAGAATGACAAAATGTAAAATAAGGTATTCCATTTATAACATCAATGCCAATCATTTTCTCTGTAGTAAACACGGAAACATATTTTCCCCTTTCTCCTTCAACTAGAAATAGCAAAAAAGGAAGAAAAACAGATTAGAGGTGGGTGGAATGGGTCACTACACTGGGAAGGGAAGGAAAAAGAAAGGGAAGAACATAACTGGATGGAGATGAGGTGAGCAGAGGAAGTAACTGATCAGGGAAGGAGTCTTGTTTTGATGTTACAGGGATAAAAAAGATATTTCCAAGGAAATCTTGATTCCTGGTGATTTCATGGACATGTCCTGTAGTTTTCTTAGCAAAGGTATGGAAATAGTTGCCATTTCTTTCTTCTGGGAAGACTTTTCTACTACCCAATTGAGCCTAGAGCTCTACGGTTCTATGGTGCCCTCTTGTCCAAGGACTAATCAGGCCCAGCTCTGCTTAGGCTTACAAAATCAGCAAGTGGATTACAGAAAGGATTATATTTTCTGGAGAAGCAACTGCTCCCAAGCAAATGTGTCCATGTTCCTCCTCAGTAAAGTCAGCAAGTGATTGCTTCACTGATGTAATTGGGCTAAGACTTTTAATGCAGAAAAGATATTGCTTAAAGTTATCTATTTTTCCTGAATAAGGAGCAACTGTTGAGTTGTATTCATTCATATTTACCTTGCCTGAAATTCAAAATTTCCTGTGGAAAGGAACAGTTCTATTAATTACTGGAACCAAAATATTAATGTTCAGTTCTCTTTTATTAATGTTGATGACAATGCTTTAGTAAGCTTGTTTGAGGCACAAAATGTCATTTGTAAATAAACATATTCTGTTTTTAAAATGATCTGTTACTGCTTTTAAAAAATGGCATATCAATTGGATATTGAAATATAATCAACATTTTTATTAATGAAAGTAAGTTAATTTTTGGTAGTAATATCCAAACAGTTACAACTTCAGGGATTCAAGACATTCACAGTTTAATCCTCTACATGGCTCTTTAGAATTATGTCTGTTGGGTTCAATGGGCCTTAATTCCAGATAAGGGCTATAACTTTTCAACTTGAATTGCTTTTTCATCCTAGCTAACTCTGGGTAATACACAAACACCAAAGATCAGTTCTGCACTCTTTTTGATTTGATACAAGCACTCAGACTGATCACCTATGCGTCAATCTTATAATCACAATTTAGTGTGGATGAAATATATTCTATTCTACAATGGGATTCAGTTATTTAACAAAAATAGTTGGGACTGTTTTTTGAACATACAACCAGGCATAACTATGGGTCCAAAAACAACTATTAGCACCATTATTACTATATGTTTACATAGCTCTTATGTCATGAAAACCAACAGTAACATAGGCAAGCACTGCAGTAACTAACAGTGCCATTAGGATTTACCAACAACAATATTAGTGGGGCTAGAATAATATTTTGGATATAAGGCCAACTAGGTATTATGAAAATTATAAAAAATTAACTTAATCTGTGTTTCACTGGATTAAAACCAATGTAGTCCTTCATTCTATTTCCTCATTTTCTCCAAATATTGTTGGAAATTAAGCCCCAGAGGAAAAAGTCCATCTCATATCTCCCAGAGTTCTGTTGATCTATTATAAAAAGGTGTATTATCTTTTTTTAAAAGACATAAAAGCTAAAGAGCCATACTTCATGCATCTTGTAGTTCATTATTTACATTTTCCCTAAACTTAGTGCTGATCAGACATCACTGCATATCTTAAATCTTAACATTAAAAAATTGGAGAAGAAATTGTTCATTCTCTCCACAGCATTAATCATCTGGTAACCTTGTCCCCATCCAAACTAGCATCTAAGTTCAGTTATATCTAGCCAGAGATTAATATGTCAATTATCATTTTACTCACCATTTCTTAGACTTTTTCTTGACTCTGGGATACCCTTTATGAATACAAGAAAAGGAAAGAGTGGGAAGTTTGGACTCTGACAAGGATCAGAATGCCATAAGAGTAAAAATTAATTCCAATAAAGGGAATAGGGACATCCATAGTAAGAGAAGGAGTAGCCTGGCCCTCTTCCATCACCCAGGATTAAAACAATAAGAGGACTTTCTTTTTCTTCTCCTACCAGAAAGAATCTAAATCTGCAATTGTTCTTGACTTGCAGGGCAGGAATCCTATGGAAAACTGGATCCTTTTCCTCCCATGAAGATCATCATGGCAAATAAAAAGCCAAATTAACATTATATAGATCAGTGGCAGAACTGTTGTTGCAGTTCATGCTTCTTTCTCTGCTTTCCCTTTTTGTATCATGTCAGTTTAACTGAACCTCTGGACTCAGTCTTTGTAACATCTATACAGTTCCAAGAAAATTGTAGGCTTTTTATTTATGTGCTTCATAATAACTTCGTGCTGTTGAATGTACTGTCTGTATGAACTTCTGCACTGTAATCAGAAGAAGGCAGAAGTTCCAATCATAAATCATCCTTACAGCAGAAAGATTTTACCATATAGTACTAGAAATGTCAACCAACATGTGCGCTCTTTAAATCTGAGGTCCTTTACATTCAGTTCAAAGGAACATTTGTTCCAGGAACCCTCAGACAGTTATTTCTTTGTCATAGTGT